TAACTTTATATTATTTCTTAAGCGTAAAGATAGATGTGCTCGATATTATAGGGTTTATTGTCGTTCCACATCTTTTTTATAAATTATTCAATATGGAATCACGCTGTCATCCACAGGAAGAGCACATGTTTAGACATGAATCTGTAGTGGCATTGGGCCTCAACTACACAATCCTCAAGGCCGAACACGAAACGGTTGGGAAAATGGATACTCAACAGTTAACACGGAGAATAATCCAATGATGGAGTGGGCGGGAAGAATGAATTCAATTAGTTTGAACTGATCAGATAGCATGTTTTGGCCTTTCAGGTGTGGCCACACTTTTGTAACATTGTTTTTATCCATACTAAATATATTGTTCTATCTCCAGTCTAAATGCGGTCTTTATCATGTATTGATGACTATTACAACGCGACGAACCAAGGTAGACAATGATTTGACTTCCACGTAAGATCATATAGATTAGGCAGTTACATCGTAACGAATCTACAAATTTTGGAGCAGTATTAATATCGAAGTAGACCATAATTCTACAAATCGCTGGCTTGAATCACACTGTAAAATTGGCAAGATTGATATGATGTAAATCTTCAGTAACTGAGCTGTATATGAAACCACATCTTCTACAACTCTCAATATATCTACTATAGTGCCGAAGCTTTTAAGAGCCATTGAGATGAAATACTGAGTTCGTTTTTTTCCTGATCAACGTCTTGGAAAGTTACGGTCGAATATAAAGCGATGACAGTTTGCCAACTACCCTTCATCTACTTCAGTTGGTGCATTCAAAGTTATCCCTCACAGACCGATTACGAGTTCTCGGTTAGTCGATAACTCTATGTAATCTCCAGTGAAACCCTAATCGTGCATTAGACGAAGCAATTTGATTAAATCAAACCAGTGGCAGGGCCAACGGACACGCTTGACTGACTCATGATTGCCCCCAGTAAGGAAGGCAATACAAGTCAGGTCTAAGTTGATCTTGGAAAACCCTCGAACATGAGACTCACCAAGTACCTAGGCTGCACTAACATAAACTTAGCTACCATGGAGCAGTGAGATGTCTGCTAACAACCATAAAAAGTCTAATTCGACACCTAATACATCCACAAAAACTATAAGAACACTGAATAACTTGTAACGCTATCACCTAGTTTTCAGCGGAATGTGTAAGAAGAACCAGAACATTAGCTTTGCATTCGCTGACGCCGAAAGTATTGACTGGCCCAGTAGATGGTCAAATGAGTTCATTGAAGGGTTAAAACTAGTTTGTGAATCACAGTATGTGTTCTGAAATATCAATTACAGTGGCCGTAAAGTCACAGCTTCAGAGGCATGTAATAAAGTAGATCATACGATTAACAAACTAAACCTATGAAAACAAACTTCATCGTATGAACTTGTACTCGTCAGGTCATAGTGGGCCACCTGATAATCATAACAGCGTACCAAGTACTCCAGGCAGCCTTTATAAAAGCATTTACAATCATACTCCTGATGTCTCGTACAAAAAACAACTCAGAATAAGTCACATTCTCCCCATTACACTTCGATGATACCTAGTACCTAACCCCGGACGACTTGACTACAGCTTTAACGGTGGATAGTTTTGGGTGAATACTCGGTCCCATATACATATCTATAGTTTACTATCATTATTCTAGAGCACCGGCTAGTTATACGCTCTGATGGAGAAATACATTTTGCCGTCATCTATATATCTGGCCTATAGCTCTAAATCAACTGTCTATTGTTATTAGTAACCCCTTATGTATTCATTCAGCCAGCCATTTCCATTTTTCTGCTGTTTTCATGTACTTGTCTGTTTGTTTAGATAACGAGCTTATTGACATAATTATTCACCTTATCAACTGCGTTTCCACTCATCTCTGTACCGGACCCATACGACAACGTGATCAAAATATGATAAAATGCAAAGCAAATAATATTATATGAAGCAAACGCTCATGCACGAAAACTTAAATGGTAGTATAGAAAAAGGAAAAAAATGTTTAAAAATAACACTTAAAACCAAGTTATATATTTTTCACTAAAAAATAATAACAACAGTTGTGTAACAAATGCAGCTCAGACGTTCCTTTATGTGTAATCATCACAGGTGAAATTCACTAAATTGCTAGATATCTTCTCTTCCGTTTATCTCTTAGAGGGTGAATTGAAGCATCAATCCAGAAGCGTTTTCGGAGTAATTCAGACGCTTTATGTAAAGTGACCTAAACGGATATTACGTCACTAATATCCTCGTAAATCGACATCTGTAGACAACGCACACACAAAAGGAACTCCGTGGGTAGTGTTAATGTGAACCACAGAAGTACTGAAATCATTACTGCATTACGTGTGAAGTGAAGTCACAGATGGTACAGACAAACGGTAGTTGGATGTCGAAGCAGCGAACCTTCAAGCTACCGACCAGTCGCTTTTCTCTCTATACCTTCAAAAATTGTGGAATCCCTGATATGCTACGGTATACACGACCATTTATTGTCCTTAAACTTCTTTTCACCCCAAAAGCATGGGTACAGGAAGGGTCATTCTTGTATAGCCAACCTGCTAACTGTCACGGACAGATGAACAACCATCCTTGATCGCAAGGGGAAGGTTGACGTCGTTTACCTTGACTTCTCTAAAGCTTCAGATGGGGTCAAACGATTAGGTATCGAATCACCTCTAATTGATTGACTCAATTCATATCTAAGAAATCGGTATTTTAAGGTCAGGGTTAACTTCAATTTCTCTCAGGCTATGGAACGTTCCGGTGGTCCCCCAGGTTTCAGTACTAGGAACTCTTCTGTTCTTGATTTATATAAACGGTCTCCTACAACTGGTATCGTGTGAGTTATTACTTTTTGATGATGATGTAAAACTCTAAAGAGAGAGATATGCAACCAAGTGGATATACTGGCACTTCATGAGGATCTGACTCGACTTCAAAGTCGGGCAGATGACAACGGACTTACCTTCAGCACTTCAGTTTGTAAAGTAGTCCATCCGAAACAAGTTGCAGACTTAAGTTACAGCTTATGCAGCTCCTCTGTAGAAGTACCCTGAGTCGAAAAATATTTAGGAGTGTTGGTACCCTACGGTTTGAAGTCTTACGCTAACTGTGACAAAAATGCCTTTCGAGCAAACCTTGTACTGATAACATTGAAGCGCGTCTGGCGAAAGTACCTCCCACATAATCTTTCATTCATCTCCATTTAGAGTACGGAAACATAGTATTACCTCCCTCAGTCGAAAGGATAAGGACACTCTTGAGCGTATCCAACGGCGAGCCACGAAATCAGTTCAGGGACTCAAATTCAAGCCTTATGAAGAGCGCCTCCAATGACTAAGCCCTTACTCATTAGAATATGGGCGTCTTAGAGTTGGCGTTCTGATGGCTTACAATATCCTTAACACTTCTGGACATCCCCTTAAACACCTAGTTCAGTTTAGCTCCAACACAAACCTAAGGGGTAACACTTAGAAACTGGAGACACAACATAGCAGAGTAGACTGTAGACTCAACTTCCACTCCTTAAGAGTTTTCAAATGCTTGATTTCGCTTCCGACTGGGCTAGTCCAAGCAACTTCCCAGGAGTCCTTTAAGAGGAAACTTGACCTATTCTTCAGGACTAAAGATAATGTCCTACTATGATTTACCAATCTCTTTTTTCGTTCATTATCGTTAAAATACCTAGGTTCCTGCCCGGAGGTATTGGTGATCCACTGCTACTAGACACGGAAGCCTGTTAAGTGAAAGCTTCTTCTATTCCGTCCACAACCATCTCAACCATTTGATACATAAATGTGACCACAAATAGGTGACCAAAGAAAAGACATGATATTCACCGTTGTCAGTTAAACTTCATATCACGTTGCCAATTGCAGTGTTATCTCACTACATTCTGTATTATAACCAATCAGTCGATTGTCCTGTAACGTGATAGCTGCTAGTTCCAGCAACCTCAAGGTCCCCAAAAAAGAAGTCGTTTATATTAACGATATATCCAGTTTCAGTTTGGGAAGGACAGGAGGCCTGATGGCTTTTGTTAGTCCTGGTAATGGTGGTTTCTCAGTTGATCCAACTTTCTTTTTAAAGAATCGACGGATGGAGCCTCAACCACGTGCTGAGGTAATGAGTTCCACTCGTTGATGATTCGATGGGAAAGTCGATAGTAAGCTGACAAGTAATTTGTTCTTGGCTTGTGACCTTTTTTGGAGTGTCCTCGTAAATTCTCTGTTTTGGAAGACAAGAAAAACGAGGGCATATCAGGTGCGAATTCGGCACTAAGCAATTTGAAAACTGTAATCAAGTCGCCTCTAGTTCTGCGATATGACAACGGGAAAAGGTTCAGCTTGGCCAGTCGAGCTTCATACGGAAGCTTCGCTATTCCGTTCTCTGAACCTTTTCCAGAAGCTTGCTGTCTTTTTTTAAGCAGGGGCTGGCCGCTTGTATGCAGTACTCAAGTTTAGGACGTACGAACACTGTATATGAAGTCAAAAACGTCTTAGCGTCGACATGGCTAAAAGCCCTACGTATTGACCATAACGTTCTAAAACCTTTGGCGGCTATTGCACGGCAGTATGCAGTAGTCTTGGCTAACGATGACTCCTAAGTCATTATATGCCTGGACGACAGGTAGTTCAGTGTTATTCATCGTGTATGTATGTGTACCTTGATGACCGATCTGCATCACAACACACTTGGAAGTATTTATCGGCAACTGCCAGGTTTGAGACCATTCAGACAATTTCTTCAGGTCATTTTGAAGTTCTAAGCTATCACCCTCACATCGTATCGTTCTCCATATCTTGACATTGTCAGCATATAGCAGGACCGATGATAATAGTTGTCACTGTGTTGTTAGGTTATTCACGTAGGATGATAAAAAGACCTGTGTTTGAACCTTAACTTCAAGAAGCTAACGAAAACAAACTAGTTTAAACTAACTCGTGGCGAAGATATATAATTGCTATTGAATATCAACCTTGGTGTAGAATTCGGAAACGTCGTAAATATGTAAATGTGCTGGAAGAAAAGAGAACAAGCCCTGTTGAACCAGACATTCAAAATGATGTATGGGACTAATTTGTTAATGAGCTTTCCCTTTTGTCAAATAACAGCGTTTGTTATTTCAGAAATATATACGTTGTTTCTCGCACGTTGTGTTCTTCCTCACATTCACTGACTCTGGTTTGTATGCTGTTGGTGTAGGAACTTCCTGTCTTGAAATAAACGACGATGAAACTTTTTAAAATTTTGCTATTTTTTTCTTTCAGTTTGTATCACATACTGCTACTCACACTTCCCCAGAACAAAATCAACCTTCAGGGTTAGCGCAAACCTACCAAAGGCTAAACATTACAAGTGCATCGAACGTTCTGACTGATCTGTCAGCCTTTTTTTGTTCCCTTCCTCGAATATCTTAATTCTGAAGGCAATCTCGGCCATCTAATCGAATTGAAGGATACAATAAGTAATGTCTAGACGTTTTACTCCTTTCTCCAAATTACCTTCATCCTGTTCAAAGATGTCTTCAGACGATACGTTTAAAAACAAAAGTCAAAACATTCTCCCATATGTGGATGGAGTTTTTATTGAGCCAAGAGTGAAGGAGAGCATAGACAAAATACAAGTTGGTTCACTGGATCTCTCTGTATTCAGCTGCCAGTCGATGAACCCAGAAGCTATCAAGCTTGCAGAGAGTTTTGAGTGTGATTTAAAGTCTTTGGAAAGTTTTCTGAAAAGGCTTGTAAGTTCTCTTCAAGTTAACATGACTCTGTTACTTGAATCCATCTCTGCTTCACTTGAATTCGAGTCCAGTGACTTCTTTAGTGAAGTAATTCGAGAAGTTATTAAGAAAATGCAAGAGTTTACTCAGTTCCTTTCTACGGATGAAGACTGCTTTTATTATCCCGAACACGTAATTGAGAAAGACGATTGTGATTTTATCTTTCATTTCACATTCATTCTTCGTTATTTATGCTGTCCTGCATATCGCGGAAAATTTCATGGTTTAGTTGTTACGTGCAAGTCGTTACGGCTAATGGTTCCATTGACTATATTAACTCGTATTATTCATGAATCTGTTCCTCCAAACAAATTATTTAGTTTTCTACCTATCTTTTGCAAAAACACAGAAAGTCACTGTAATGGTCGAAGCATAGCAATGATTTACCAATCATCTGACATAGACTCAGCTGCTAGATACTGTGTATCATCATTAAAAAATGCTCTGGGTACTGGAATAGGCCATTCACCCGTCATCTTAGTCGAGGAATCCATATACAAACGTTTTATTGGTCGTATGGAAAGCCTTATTAATTTAAACACATCTGCAGAAGAATTGGAAAGTTACGAAAAGTCAGAATATCCACCATTCTGTACTGATTATATTAATGAAGTAATATCTTATACAGACTCTGTCGGTGCGAAAATTCTTCGTTATAATCAGAAAATACCACATTCTCCAATAATTGTTTATGACATTACTCCATCGTCTGTCAAAGTTAATAGAAGGAGCGGTCCAGTCGCATTTGTTCTGTGCTTCCGTACTGTTAAAGAAAGTGTGTCTTTACTAACATATTTTATCGATCATCTCAATAATCATAAACGTAATAGAGTTAATCCGACGAGCTATGAATGTGCGATCAATATATGGCAAACAGATTCAAATATCATATGGCAACTTTTCCAGATGTTATTACTGTCAGGTGTGGACAACGTTTTTGTAAATGCTTCTAGTCGCCAACTGGCTGCGACAATGTACACAAGACTTTTTGAAGTAAATGGATCATCATGTTTTCCGAGTGAGGTGTCAAAAACGAATAACAATGGAACACTATATAAGACATTAAGTACAGTCATCTCTACTGCTCGTGCTGCTCAAGTCAGTTCAATGGCCAAAGGTTATGAATTAATCCAAAGTGAGGTGTCTAAAGATGAAACATTAGCTGGTGTTCTACCTAAAGAAGATGTATTCAAATACTTCATGCGTTACACTAGCAAGTTTTTGGGAGGTCCAGGGAAACTTTTCCTTAATGGAAAACGACAAGATACACTCCTTATTCCAGTCGCTCATCTTTGCATAAAACCAACTGGGCCAATCGTGCTCGTAATAGACTGTAAGCTACTGTCTGAACCTAAAAATTGTACTTTCGTTTTGAGACTAGTATTTTTTATTTTATTCGCAGGTAATGCTGTTGTGTTACTTCTGACAAATAATGACTTAATAGATGAAAAAAACAACTTTTTAGATAACGTCAAAACAATTCAAAAGCGGTTAAGTGTTACTTCTTTGATATCCGTTCATGTATGTACTTGTCCTATAACAGAACTCAATAGTATCTTATCTAATTTGTGTGAACCTTTAACAGTTTTAAATATGGATTGTGTTGATGTTTTTACTAAAGACCTACCTAATCATATTTCTAATTTATTTTGCTTATCTAAGCCTGTAACTTTGTATTGGTCCACAGGTTGTAATGTTTTTTCTTAATTTATATATACTAATATATTTGTTTTTATGAAGTATTTCTTAAAACGCATTATTTTGCATTAGTAATATATTGGCTTGTGCAAATCGAGTTTGAGGGAACTTTTATTATAAAAAGATCATAGTGGAATCAATCTATGGAGTGACTGTTTTTGTGTTTAAGCCACATAAAAAGATATAAACTTCGTAGTTGGAGTATACACAACGATCATACTTAGTAGTTGACAACATGGCTTGAAGCTAAACATAGTGACACAGCTGGATTCATATAATTTCCTAACATTATATTACTTCATTCTTTAGATTCCGTCAGGAATGGAACTAAACTTATGGTTCAGTAGACCATTTATTTTTGTTGATTGTGACAATTTCGTGCTTACAATTAGTAGATTAGTTTTCCACTGTTATAAGTTGACCAGATTATAGCCTACTTAAGCCAAGAGAAGTTTAAACAGTGAACGAAATGAATATAAATAAAGTGTATCGAGATAACCTGTTTAACTACGTACCTAGCTTTGGTGTAAAATGGGTCTTAGTCTGGCATATCTTTAAATTCATTCTTATATCGAGTTGTACATATCCTTCTGGAAGTTTATGAAATAAAGAATTATTCTATGGCTAATGAAGGGGAAGTTCGATTACGTATATTGTCATAACTAATTAATGGTATCTGTAAACCTGAAGGTAGTTTTCATTTTCATTTGCCAATAATCAATCTGGGATTATGGACCACCCTCTGTTTCCATTGTGTTTTTTTAAAAAAAAATTTTCTGCCTTAGTTCCCCATTCCTGTCAGCACCATCGTTTTTACTAAATTCATTGTCTCTTTGATTCGTTTTTAGTGGTTTATTATGAAATATGACTACTTAGGTGGATATTTATTCATGCCACCAGGTTCTATATTGTTTGCGAATTACTTAAACTGGTAGTTTTTACTTGATTGTTTCCAAATTTCTATTATTTCACTTTGTCATGCTAATCGAAGTGTTCTTGTACTAATCATTTATCCTATAAAAATAGGATGTCACTTTTGTTACCGGATTAAAAATACAGTCAAGTAATTGAGATTTTCATAAAATGATTTGTCCAGATTTTACTTCATTAAGTCTGTTCAAGTATCAATTAAACATGTGTTGCATTATTAAAAACATAGTTGTCTTATGTAGATTTTGAGGTTTTTACCATGATTCATATATTTTTTCTGAAATCCTACCACGAAAGAGTTTCCAAAGTTTACTCCGTTTCGTTCCAGTGACATTGACACAGTACTCTTTACCTATTTTATTTAAACACAGATATAGGCACAAATAAACACCAAAGCATATGTGCGTCACACAAATCATTGAATCAGTGTGTGGGTTGGAATACTATCCGGGTGCCCAAACCGAAGCACGAGATTTGCTTAAGAGGTCAGTGATTAAGAATAGGCTCATTCGCTATTTATTCCCTCTGGAGTCTATGCTCACCATTGGTTTAGAGTCAGGGTTTTACAACTCCCCTAGATGGATTCCTCGTACTCACCAACATAGTTTAAGCGCCGGATATTCGCTTCCCGTCCTCTCACTTTCGTAAACAACATCCCTTCCATGAGTAATATACGGGTACTTACTTAATTACTTACGCCTGTTACTCCCAATGGAGCATAGGCCGCCGATCAACATTCTTCAACTCACTGTCCTGGGCCTTCCTTTCCAGTTCTATCCAATTGTTGTTCATTCTTCTCATGTCTAACTCCATTTCTCGACGTAATATGTTCTTTGGTCTTCCACTTCTCCTTTGATATTGAGGATTCCATGTGAGGGATTGCCCTGTGATACAGTTGGATGCTTTCCTCAATGTATGTCCTATCCATTTCCAGCGTTTCTTCCTGATTTCTTCCTCCGCTGGGATCTGGTTTGTTCTCTCTCACAGTAGGTTGTTACTGATAGTGTCTGGTCAACGGATCCGAAGTATTTTGCATATACAACTGTTATTAAACACTTATATCTTGTGAATGATGGATTTCGTAGTTCTCCAGGTTTCCGCCCCATACAGTAGAACTGTCTTGACATTTGTATTGAAAATCCTGACCTTGGTGTTGGTTGACAGACAGTTGTTTTGAGTTCCAGATGTTCTTCAGTTGTAAATATGCTGCTCTTGCTTTGCCGATTCGCGCCTTCACATCTGCATCAGATCCACTGCGTTCGTCAGTTATGCTGCCCAAATACGTAAAGGTTTTTACATCTTCCAAATCTCCGTCCGTTGTGACTGGATTGGTGCATTCTGTGTTGTATCGGAGAATCCTGCTTTTCCCTTTGTGTATATTGAGACCTATTGCTGCTGAGGCTGCTGCCACACTGTTTGTCTTCTCCTGCATCTGTTGTTGCGTTTGGGATAGAAGGGCCAGATCGTCTGCGAAGTCTAGATCGTCCAACTGCATCTTAGATGTCCATTGTATCCCGCGCTTCCCTTCAGACGTTGACGTCTTCATGATCCAGTCGATCACCAGGAAAAAGAGAAAGTGTGAGAGTAAGCAACCTTGCCTGACACCGGTCTTCACTTCGAACGACTTTGTCAACTGTTCTTCATGCACAATTTTGCAGTGTAATCCATCATGTGAGTTCTGTATGATATTGACTATCTTCTGGGGCACGCCGTAGTGTCGAAGATGTTTCCATAGTGTTGTTCTGTCCACGCTATCAAATGCCTTTTCGTAGTCAATGAAGTTGATGTAGAGTGATGAATTCCATTCAATTGATTGTTCCACAATGATCCGTAGAGTTGCGATTTGGTCTGTACACGATCTATCCTTACGGAATCCTGCCTGTTGGTCACGAAGTTGGGCGTCTACGCAGTCCTTCATCCTGTTTAACAATACCCTGTTGAAGACTTTTCCCGGTATTGAGAGAAGAGTGATGCCCCTGTAGTTATCACAGTTGCGGAGATCGCCTTTCTTCGGTATTTTGATCAGAAGCCCTTTTCAGTCCTTTGGTACTTGTTCCTCATCCCAAATCTTATTGAAGAGAATGTGGGGTATCCTTGCAGTTACCACTACGTCTGCTTTCAGTGCCTTTGCTGGAATGTTGTCCGGTCCTGCTGCTTTGCCACTCTTGATTTGTCTGATGGCCATACTGATTTCTTCAATTGTTGGTGGGCCAACATTGATTGGGAGGTCCGTGGGTGCTGCTTCGATGTTGGGTGGGTTGAGTGGAGCTGGTCGATTCAAGAGTTCTTTGAAGTGTTCCACCCACCTGTTTTGTTGCTCTTCAATGTTGGTGATTACCTCGCCCTCATTGCTTTTCACTGGGCATTCTGGTTTACTGTCATTTCCAGCGAGTTTGTCTGTTGTGTCATACAATTGTCTCATGTTTCCTTCTGTTGCAGCCTTTTCCTCCGTCATTGCTAGATCTTCCACATATTTACGTTTGTCACTTCTGATACTCCTCTTCACTTGTTTGTTAACTTCTGTGTATTCAGCTTGTGCCTTGACTTTTTCTGCTCTTGTTCGACTGGTATTGATTGCTGCTTTCTTGTTCCTCCTTTCTTGAATCTTATCCAGTGTATCAACAGTGATTCATTCCTTGTGATGGTGTTTCTTGTGGCTCAGAACCTCATGACATGTCGAAGTGATTGCTTCTTTGATCCCCTTCCAGTTGCCCTCCATGGTAGTTCCTTTTCCATTGAGTAGATCATGAAAGGCCTGGAACTTGTTGCTGAGGACTATCTTGGATTCGTTGAGTTTGTCAGTATCCCGAAGAAAAGACTTATTAAACTTTTGTGCTGTTGTCCGCCCCATTGTCCAGTGCTTCTTGAGTTTCAATTTCATCTTGGCGACCAGCAAGTGATGATCTGATGCTATATCAGCTCCTCTCTTGGTTCTCACGTCTTCCATCGTCCTTCCTGAACTTTTTGTTGATGTAAATATGGTCGACTTGGTTTTGCGTGGTGTGATCCGGTGAAGTCTAGGTGATTTTTTGAATGCGCTTATGTGGGGATATAGTTCCGCTTATGACCAGTTTATTGAAAACACATAGATTTGCAAATCTCTCACCATTTTCGTTCCTTTCTCCCAGTCCGTGTCGTCCCATGATGTCTTCATATCCGGTGTTGTCCGTTCCAACCTTGGCGTTGAAATCTCCCATCAGAATGGTCAGGTCCTTTGTTGGGCACTTCTCGATGATTGACTGCAGCCTATTGTAGAATTGATCTTTCGCGTCTTCATTGTAGTCGTTGGTACGCGCATAGCATTGGATGATGTTCATTGAAATGCCCTCTTTCTTTGTTTTGAAGGAGGCTTTGATGATCCTTGGTCCATGAGATTCCCATCCTATAAGTGCATTTTGTGCTTGTTTGGACAGCATCAATGCAACTCCTTGTGTATGTGGTGCATTTTCCTCATCATGGCCGGAGTATAGCAGAAGCTCCCCTGAAGTTAGTCGTTGTTGTCCAACTTGCGTCCAATGTGTTTCACTGATCCCAAGCACCTCTAGGTTGCATCTCCTCATTTCTGTAGCAATTTGGAAGGCTCTCCCGGTGTCCCACATTGTACGAACATTCCATGTACTTAAATAAATGGTTGCTCTGGTTGTCAGAAGGGGCATCGGCCTCGTAACTTCCGAAGGAATTCGGCTTTCATCATGAGGCGTCATAATTCTTCTAAATGAAGACCTTCTGACTCCCAGGGCAGAGTTTAAAAGGTTTGAATAATTTTTTCTGGTTAGCGTTTTTTTAGCGAGTTAGTTTTCTACGCGATGGAGACGCTAACCTCATGCCCAACCCTCCTCCTTTATCCGGGCTTGGGACCGGTAGTAGCCCCGGAGGGACTCCAGGCGGAGTTAATATACGTGTAATTCATTGGAAAAGTACATTTTTTCTCATTCGGCCATGAGTCACATTAGTTGTATTAGGGTTAGCGATCCTAACTTGTTTGCCCAAACCAAATTAGGTTAGTAAGGGTTTGAAGATGCAGCTTATTGGGACAGTATATGATTTGCGCTTGACATTACGGAAATAGACTATTGAATTTAAATGAAATGTCAGTGTATACATAGTTATATA